ATTCTGGCCTATTTGTTATAAGTTAGAATCTTTAAACGTAAATTATGTTATTTCATCAAAGTAATAATTAATCTTAGTATTAATAAAATTACAAAATCTTTAAACTCAAAGTTGCGTGTTTACTTATTTTGGCTCCGCTTTTAAAAGAATTTTGTTTGTTGTAACCAACTATTTGTATAATCGTTGAATATTATAATAGACCAATCTGTGTAGCCGTTGAAGTTCCAATTATAAAATGCTTGTTTTTTCTGTTTCTAGGTAAACAACCACAATATGTTTTGTGCCAAGTCTTTTTTGGGTAAGTTTTTTTCTTATTACCCAACTTAAACAAACTTCGTTTAAACGTGGAATTTATTCAAACTTCATGTGCAAACTTGTACAAAGGTTCATTTATGTACTTCTCTATGTGCGATAGCATGCATTGTAGTGCTCCATAAGGAATGAAGTGTTCCCGATAGATGTTTTTTTTTGTATAAAGGACAGATTTAGAGCCGGTATAGCTCAGTGTTCGGGCGCTGGCCTTTAATTCAATATACTCGAACAATCTGAGTTCGATCACCGGTGGCGGCACAAATAAATTGTTAATATGAAGCGATGACTTATCAGGCGCGGTGAAGGAAAGACATCGTAAGGAAACCTTAATCATATTCTTCGAAATGATAACAAAAGAATATTAATAGTAATAATAATAATAATCCGCAGTGCGGCCACGTGGTGGACTATGCCTTGATACCGTCTGTATAGAGGAGGCCTTTGCCCAGCAGAGGGACATGTACAGGCTGCTACTTTACTTTACTTTTATAAAAAGTAAAGTAAAGCAACAGACTATAAATGTTATTTTTGAGCCTCGAAAGCACGAATGGGCAGGTCCATCCGGGTAAGTACCACGACCTCACAGAAGACCGGCGTGAAGTAGACGTGTTGCTGAGTTTCGTCTGGTGAGTGAAGTAGCTGGAGCCCGCTTTATTAAATGGCCATAACGCATCCGCAACCCTACGGGTGTTGCAAATGTCCTTGAGCGACGGTTATCACTTAACATCGGGTGAACCGCCGGCTCGTTTGCCACTTTCTCACATAAAAAAAAAAAAACAGATGTTACTACGAGTACAGCCTCACGATAAGATCTGAAAGCGCAAGTTGACACGATGACCCGAATGCCAGTTTTGAGGCGACATTGTGCTGGCGCTACTTTGTTGTCAGCAATTCGAAAACAGTAAAGGTTGAAAAAGAACATTGTTTTGTCTACGCGAGCGAAATGCGGGCGACGGGTTCGCGTAATGGGCGACCTCGAGTCGTGTAAGCTTTTTGTCGTTTGTGAAGAAAAATAATAATTGGTCTTCGATTCTTATTGTTAAGATAAGAGGGCGTTGTTTGCACTGCGTCACTATTTCTTTTAAACTGGTACTGATTTCTTGCAAAATTTACACTGATTTCTTGTAAAGTAAATTAACTAATTATGTAATTCTGTATCTCCCACTCTAAGTAAACGGTTAGGTAGCGATGCCCGTATTGATCGTATGACACAGACTTCACATATCCCCTAAATTGCAAGTTGCTCAAGTTGAGTATGCTAAATTGATATGAAAAAAAAAAAACGATTTCTTGTTTATGTGCGATTGCATTGTGAAATAAAACTATGTATTTCATTCTTGGTCGGTATAGACATATAATTGATTTTGCTCCGTGGCGCAGTTGCCAAGGTATTGACTTCGGCATCGGAGGTCGTGGGCTCGATTCGACTGGACAACTATTTGTAATGCAAACAAACAAAGGAATAAATTTTTGTACGTCTAAATTTAACTTTTAATTATCGAATCATCGAAGACGGAGAGTTCATTGAAAAACTAAAACATTTTCCATTGCAGCAAAAATGGAAACTAAATTCGAAGTACATAATTTTGTTATCAATTTCTAATGTTTTCACACCAGGCGTTGAAGTGTTAGGCGTTAAAATAATAAACTACCCAAAAATGTATGATTGATTCGGATGTGTTCGTGTATCGATAATAATTAGTCACAACTCACGCACAGCTGTTGCGCAGTAACGACACTTGAAATCTCTCACTAATTACACCCTAAATTACGATGTACCGTGTAAAAGGTGGTACCGTCGTTTAAATGTGTCTCTTATTTGTACATCCTAAAGGTACACAATCAAACGTGCGGACGATGCAGCGATGTCGTTGTTACGTTTAAACGAACCAGTCGTGATTCTCACATCATTCGAGGGGAAATTATAGAAAATATCGAGCAGTAGTGTTACCCACGTATTATGTATACATGTATATAAAGTATCATTATAACGAGCAGTAATCAAGAGGGATGGGTAAAGACTTATATACATGTATATAAAGTTAGCATCATTATAACGAGCATTAATCAAGAGGGATGGATAGAGATTTAGTTTACACTTGGCACTCTGAGGTCGGAAAGAGGCATTCAAGAAGAGATGTTGGCAAGCGAGCAGGCAGTTCATCTGGTGTTAACTAACCACCGTAAGTAAATAACCGCCACCTATTGACATTTGCAACACTCGTAAATTTGCGGATGCGTTGCCACTTTATAATAAAGTGGGCCCCGGCAACCTCACTCACCAGACGAAACGCAGAAGTATGCCACTTCCACTTTACTCCGGTCTTCTGTGAGGTCGTGGTAGTTACGTGGACGGACCTGCCTGTTCGTGCATCGGCAAAGACCGCTGCGTTATCCTTCCAATGAGGAACCACTCGCGAATCAATTCTTTAAAAAATAAACGACTAAAAACTTATTTCTGCAATTGTAATTTCGCCTGCACTAAACAGCTCACTCACTTAGAAAACTATACGAACGAAGTTTTCATTACGAAGCTCCAAGTCGATTTGTTTTACTGCGTTACTTTAGGTACAACTTCCCTAATAAATAGAGACGAAGTAACATCGAAGAAACGCTCTATTAAACAGGCCCAAGGGGCGAGAGAACAGCGGAAGTGGGATTGCAAAGTATTGAAATTACCGAATTTTATTATATGTGTCTATATTCTTAACACTTAAGAGTTTAAATTTTCTCAAATTATTATTTATGTTTGAATTTATTGTAGTAACTAGTAGTACTCACAAATCTTTATATTTTTTTTAATAAAACGATGACGAAAAATTTTACGGAAAAATATCTAAGATAAGAATAACATCAGAAATATTAAAAGTTAACATTAAAAATGAATTAACAATATGATATGTTTAAAGTTATTTTATGTTATTCATATTTATATTGGTCATATCGTTTTTATTTGACTATCTTTCGAATCCTTTCGCAGGGAGGTCCAAAGCTTTTGTCGTTGTAACAGCGAATAAAAAAAAAAACCGCCCAAGTGCGAGTCGGACTCGCGCACGAAGGGTTTCCGTACCATTATCTATAAAAACGGCAAAAAAATCATGACTGTTGTCTGTCTTAAATATTTTTTTATTCTGTTTTTTAGTATTTGAGTACGGAGCCCTAAAAAGATAACATTTTAATACCCAACGAAATTGTAAAAAGAATAATGAAATTTGTATAACTAGTAATTTAAAAAATAAAACTATTAAAATAAATAGGATTTTTTTTGTTTATTCCAAAATAGCTATATATTCATAATAACGTTATTCGTTAATGGAATAATGATTCAATGTAATAGCTGTGTCGTTTTATCTTAGACCAGTATCCGCAACCGCAGGGGTCGTGATTTATTTGAAGGCTCTATTACGGGCCGGTATTTTAATATACCTCTCGCCTTAATATACATTGATGTAATAATTTAATAATAATGTCGTCGTATAAATCGCGTAATGCGGTATTTACTAACAGTACTTTGTAGGAGATTTCAAAGCCCTTTTCTTGAAAAAAAATAAATTAACAAAGTTTAGCTACAATAATTCAAAGATGGGACCCCACTTATAAAATTCGTAGTAAGCTGATTTCAAATCCTTGTGCTGCATCCTTTGAAGGATGAAGGATGCAGTTAGAATTTTAATTTGACCCTTGAAAAATAGGCAGGATCGGATCTCCACATCTAAGAGATGATTCAATAAAAATTTGGCTTCTTGGTAGCTTATATTATATGTAAGATACGTATAAACTCCATGTTTAATTTTTAAATATCAATAAGAAATAAAATGCCCACTTTGAAAACACGCCCATGGTCCGAAAGCCTAAACTATTGTTGTACAACTGTGCTATCGAGTAGTTTAAATTTATTTCACTTTATTCCATGGTCTTTTGTCAAGATTCGGTCAATTATTTATGTTGTGTCGAGTTGGTAAGACGTTAATGGCCCAAGAAAGAATCATTGAAACTTTTCTGTGATCTGCCGGTACCCACATTTGTCTCATGTTGTGAAAAGAAAAGGTAAGATTAAAACAGAATTGTATGGTGGCTGAATTTGTACAGTACACTACTTTTAGCTGTCACTTCTGTTTTTTATTCATACAAACTTTTTTAATTTTATTCATACAAGCTTTTTTAAAAATCCTTCAAGTAATTCCATTTAACCTATATTGTCATGTCTTAACCGGTGGTAGAGCCACGCAGCAGCCTCGGCTGTTGCACGAATGGGCAGGCTCATCCGGGTAAGTACCATGATCTCACAGAAGACCGGCGTCAAGTGGAAGTATAATGTTTCGCGTTTCGTCTGGTGAGTAAGGAAGCCGGAGCCTAATTTCAAAAAAGGTTGTCAACGCATCTGCAAACCCTCGTGTAGCAGATGTCTATGGGCGGTGGTATTCACTTGACATCAGGTGAACGGTTTGCTCGTTTGGCAACTTTTCACATAAAAAAAGGACAAAAATTGATATGTAATAACAATATTTAAACACCAGTAACCTTACCTACAAAAAAAGCAATGAGCCATATATCGTGACAAATAAGATATCAAGCTGTAAAGGAATCAAAAAATGAAACAAAATGATATAAGTATAAGCTATTTATAGAAGGTAATGTATTTAGTTAAGGAATGTGTGAGAAATCTATTGGAAAAAATCTTAGTATTAGCAGTAGTTAAGCAATTCGTCTCTGGTGCAGGGTTTCTCACAGCATTCACTGACGATGCCCCTCTTAGTTCTGGACTGGCTCGTCGACTGGCTCAATCTATGCGCGAGACGCGGAGCCAGCCACTGCCAGGAGTAATCATAGTCCTCTATCGAGCTGGGGACAGACTTCTTGATTACCATCTCACTTTCACATATCGAAGCCATCGTCTCAGCCAGCCTTCTGCCGCACAAGATAGTTTGAGTGGCAACAAGACCTATAGCCAATGTCCCAATAGCTAGGAGAACCAGCGCTTTGGTATTCATGATGTATCTTCAATTTCTCTGCGATGTTGTTACGGACAAAACTCGGAGTTGGAATGTTTCCTTAAGGGTGATCTAACAGCATTTATACCCGTTATTTCATTAATATTCATTGTGTTCCCCGAATTCCTGACGAGACCTATGGTAACAAAACCATGTAGGTCGTCGAATGACATTACCTTTAAGATTTAATGGATATGACGTTAGCACACATTCGTGTCTGCGTTAGTTCGGGCGAAAGTAAGAGGTCTTAAAATAGAAAACTTGGAATTTGCCACATTTCAGGTATAGCTTTTGTGACAAATCTTCAGTTTTCAAATCGACGGGACAATTATTTAATTGGGGATTCACGGTTTCATTTTAGACTAGGATTCACACACATATGTAGCATTTTGTCGGTGCGTGGCTTTTGGTATATTTTAGTAAAAACGTATCTTTAACAGCTGTTTTGATGGGTGTTGTGTTCGATGGTGTAAAGAAAGCACTCAGAATATTTACAGGGCCATAATATGATTAATTTTAGAATCCTTACTAATATTATAAAGGTAAAAGTTTGTATGTGTGGATGTTTGTTACTCTTTCACGCAAATACTACTGATTGGATTTCAATGAAATTTACAATGACTTATACATCAGAATAAGACATAGGCTATAATTATTATAAATATTTTATGTATATCTGTCTTTCTGTCTGAATGTTACGCCTTCAGCCTATTCTACGCAGACCTAGTTGCGGGCAGCAGCTAGTCCTTAATACTTTTGTTACGACTAATTCCTTCTTTATGTATTTATTTATATCATGCTTGTCTTTCGAAGTCAAAGTTTATTTTTTAAACTCAATACTTTATGGCTACCTGCCAACTAACGCTCAGTATATACTTACATTACAACATTCGCACGGGCTACTAACCAAACCAACCCAAAACCCCCAATTCCTTTGTTTGGTCTATCGCATCAACTCAATTAGCCGGTAATAGGCGGTGGCTATTCTTTTAACGAGGATTGTTTACCACGGTCACTCCCATTCATGGCATGAGACTGGTTCCTACACCAAATTACCGGCATCCCAATGGTATCTCATTATGTTTATTATACTCTTTGAATTGGGCGCAGCGTCTGTGATGGTACAACAAGTTTTAATGGCCCCGTGAATAGGCAGCTTTACAAATAATATATTAGTCTTGGGTTTTACGACATGCTCTGTTTAACCTTCGGGCTATGGGAGAATTTGATTGGAAACAGGATTGTAGTGGGAAGAAAATTGATGCGCTGTGAAGTATTTTATGGGGGAAATTAGTTTTGGAATTTCACTGGAATTTTTCGAACATACCAGCTAGATTTGGATTTAACAATAGGTATAAATAATTGCATATAGCACAAACTATACGAATTATGAAATGGAGATTCCGTTTTAAACTGACTTTGTAATAAATTCTGCGAGTTTGATGCATTAAAATCAAATTTGAATAAACAGCAACTTGAAAATTAACTTAAACCGTAGAATATAATATTAACGTAGAAAAAATGATTTCATATTATATAATGTAGAAATATATTATACAAAGAAAATTCCTGACAATACAAAATATTTTTCTTTTGCAAAGCTGCGTTTAGAAAGCACAGTTGTGTGTAGTGGGAGAACAATTTTAAAACATAATTGAAGAAGTTGTTTTAAAATTGTTTACTGTTTTAATTTTATTTTAAAAGCTATAATTGCCACTACATTGTAAAGTTAATTTATTTTAAAATAATAGAATAAAAAATGTAGTTTGAAAATCATATTACATCTTGTCGTTGGTATCGTAATGACGAGTTAATGAATTGGTTCTAGACCTATCGCTATTAATTTGATTTATTACAATTAGTTAAGGAGCGACCTACGTAGTGAGATTTGTCGTTACTGTGTATGTTATATTATTTTGAATGGTTAAAAAGTTCTTTTAAACGCTTTTTATCGCTTTTAAATATAAGCGATGCAAATTTTTAAAGTTTTTTATAGTGCTAATCTCTGCACTTAAGCTTGACAATCAAGGCGACAATCTTTTCGTACTTTTTAAACATGCTTTAATAAGTGATGCAGTTATAGAAACGGTGCTTTTCTCTGGGTGAACGGTTCCTTTGCCTTTGGGAAGATTAGTTAAGATAACAACAGAACGTGCTATCTTACTTTAACTTTTTTATCTAAACCACCCCCAATAACTACGAAAGATATTCAACATGTACTAGCCGGTTCTTGATAAGATACCCCAACTATCCGATCAAACAAATACACACACGAAGTTACATAAACAATTAACACACAACAACTTCTGAAGGAAGGAAAGGACACTGCGCATGTACATGCATCGCGTTCCCCAGTCGTTACACTTGCTATTTACGACAGCTGTAAATATCGGTAAAGGGGAGAGGGGAGGGGGGTTATAAAAGGTCCGGCACGCCTGTTCGGCTCGGTGACGGCAAAATTATTGATCTGGAATGTAATAGAAATATCGATCGGCAGCCAATTTAACACGCCAAACTATATATAATATTAAGCGTATTACTAAGCTAATAGTCTCACTTTGTTACAAGTACCTAAGGTTAGCTTTACAGCCGCTTTGCTTCAGATGAATACACCAGATATGTTTTAAAACATCACTTGATGGTCGTTTGCAGGTGATAGATCACAGATAGGCTCAACGCGTATGATGTTTCCTTAATTAAATATTAGATAGGCTTTAGATCAACACTATAAGTATTTCAGTGTAATAACATTTAAAAAATTTATTTAGAAATTATAATATAGATGTTGAGTCCTGGATCTAGGTTATTACGATAATAAGGCTCACCAACGCTATTATAATACATTTTTGTTTTTATGTGAGAAATAATAACAAAAAAAAAATATATTTCGAAAATATGTGAAGTCCGCCAACCCGCAGTGGGGCCGCGTGGTGGACTATGCCCTGATACCCTCTCTATATAGGAGGCCTTTGCCCAGCAGTGGGACATGTATAGGCTGTTACTTTACTTTTTTTTTTATGTGAGAAGATGGCAAACGAGCTGGGGAATCACCTGATGTAAAGTGACCGCCGCCCATGGACATTTGCAACAACCGCAGGGATGCAGATGCATTGCCACCTTTTAATAAAGTGGGCCCCGGCAACCTCACTCACCAGACTAAACGCAGAAATATAATGCTTCCACTCCACGCCGGTCTTCTGTGAGGTAATGGTACTTACCCGAACGGACCTGCCCATTCGTGCAATAGCGAAGACTGTTTCGTGGTCCTACCGCAGTTGTAGCTATGATTACTTAAAAATTTTACAATTTTTGTCAACGCTTATTAATTGGCTGCTAAGCTTAATTTGAAAATCCATCTTGACATTTTAAAGAATTCATTTAGCGTTTAACGTAATACCGTCGCCGTTCACAAAAGATTAGTTTAACTCCGTAGTGTCGGCACGGGCTTCCATTTCAATGCGAGGAGGCGATAAGTAACTGACTCCATTAATGGCACTAAATAATACAATTAAACCCGGGCCGGGAGTCGTTCTGTCGCTATCTGCCGATCTGAGATAAACGCTAAGTGGACCCCATTGTTATCTACGCCGGCGAGATGTAGATAAGATGCGGCAACGATTTATCGATGTAAACGGAAGGATTAAAGTCTAAATGTTTGGAAGCTGACGGTTCTGCTCTCGGTTTCGCTGTTGCGGTAGCTTTGATTTTAACTGTATACGAGATATGGTAAATTGAAGTAGATCTCGCGGTGGGCTTGAACGAATAGGTCCCGAAAATTTGCACATCATCAGACATGGTCCAGATCCAGACACTAGTCCTAATCCATTTTGACTGCAGCAGGACCTAGCAACAGCTTCTGCAGTCTCGTCGCTCGTGCTTAGGCAGTCTAGGCCGGGGAAGTACCACGGCCGCATGAGACCGGCGTGAAGTGGAATTAAACTTTCGCTTTGCGTCTGGTGAGATAACCGGAGCCTACAATTTTAAAGGTTGTCATGCTCCAGGAAGCCATCGGGTGTTGTAGATTTCTAAGGGCGGTGGTATTCATTTAACATCAGGGAACCACCTGCTTGACAACTTTTCACATAAAAAAAATGAAAATATTCAGGGAAATCCTACGCCTTGGTCACTTTTCTGCTTGCGTGGTCTCTGTCCTCATATGGGACATAGATTTCTGTGATCCATAAACAGTTTGCGGAACTTTCCGAGATACAGGAATTGTTTCCTACTGCGCGATTCGTTTGAAAAAAAAAAAAAACGAGAGAACAGGTATGGTCAATCGAAGACAGAAAGGACCTTTGTAAGCGTAGAACTGCAATGGATAATCAGAATTTCATAATATCTTTTTTGTGATTTAATATAAAGATGAAATTGTCTAGAGGCATATTAGGTTGCTTCCTTGTACTACTTGTTTTAACGGTGGTAGGGTCACGCAACACTGTTGCACGAATGGGCAGGTCCATCCGGGTTAGTACCACGACTTCACAGAAGACCGGCGTAAAGCAGAAGTGTTATACTTCTGCGTTTCGTCTGGTGAGTGAGGTAGCCGGGGCCCACTTTATATAAAGATGGCAACGCATTTGTAACTAGGGGGTTACAAATGTCCATGGGTGGCGGTTGGCACTTAACGTCAGGTGAACCGCCAGCTCGTTTGCCACTTTCTCACATAAAAAAAAACTAATCTGAAACTATTGGCGATCATCGAAACTGCATACGCTATAATACATTCGAGTTCGATGTTGAGATAATAAGTTTATATGAAAACCCAAACATGCCAATTATTTTAATAGCGCCGAATGTAATTCGTATTATCCGAAAGCGGCCAGTACAAATTAGTGTTATCAGAGCTTTACAATAAAGGCATAATGCTGTATCGAATGCATTAACGGCCGATCCGTTTAAGGAGGGGGGCGGGCGCATTACCGCGGGTTAAGTCCAACCTATCCCATCAAATAACTATTAAAACTCATCTTTCGTGATTGGACTGGACAAATTATTTATTC